TTTTTTTACAATATCTATATACAAAATGCCAATAGTAATTCGATTCGAATTTCGAGATTAATTGATAAGCATTTAAATACACGTTAAATATGAAATAGGGGGAAAAAACAGGGAGACAAATAAAAAAAAAAAACACCACGAGACTATATATCCGAAAGTAAAATTATCCTCTTTCTATCTGGCATAAGCAAAGACAAATAAAAAAAAGAAAAAAAAAAAGAAAAAGAAGAAGTAGAAGAAGAAGTTTCGATAAAGGAAATCCGAAAGTTTTCGAAAGGTAAGAAGTAAAAGTCGTGAACGAATAAGAAAAAGCAATAGGAAGAGAGGTGAAGAGAAGGTAGAGGAAAGGGGGGAAAAAGCAAAGTAGCAGGAAGAAGAGGAAGGGGGAAGCAAAACTAAACGTACAAACACTAGAAGCAAAAGAAGAAGAAGAAGAAGAAGAGACGAGAGAAAGATATATGCTTAATTCACTACTTAGGCAGCTTTAACGAGTTCGCTAAGTGAGCGAGCGCTAACGAGTTTGCCGAGCTCGTAAGAAAGACGATGGTGGTGGTGGTGATGGTTGTAGGATGGTAGTTGTAGGGTGGTGATGGTAGTGTAAGAGGAGAAGAAGAAGAAGAAGAAGAAGAAGAAGCTTGCTCGCGCACGCAAAACTTAAACGTGAGTGAGTGAGTGAATGAATGAACGAATGAATGAGTGAGTGAGTGAGAAAGCAAAAAAGTGAGACAGTCAGTCAATTAATCAATGAAAGAAAGAGAAGGTGAATTAGGAAATGCAATTCTACGGGTTGTTCTGCCATCTGCGGTTTCATCCTTTCAAAGGTAAACGTAGATAAGACCATACTGAAAAATAGTTTACCTGCAAATAAATAGTCTATGGGGATGAGAAAAAAGAAATAGGAAAGCTAACGTGAGTATAAGTGAGATAGACTTTGAAGTAAAAAGAACAAAATTAAAAAAAAAAAAGAATAGAAAGAAAGAAAAAAAGAAAGAAAGAAAGAAAGAAAGATAGGTTAAAGGAAAACTACGTCGACCAAAAGTTTTACCAACTGTAGCCAACTACTAACTTCGTAGCAACTATCTTTTATGTTTGTCTCTTTACGTATATACACACGTATATATGTATGTGTGTCCTGTAGGTGAAGTTTTTTTTTTCTTAGTCTTATTGTTACACGTTCTAGCTCATACATATAGATAGAGAAAGGCTACTACTAGTTCAGGTATACTTTTGAAGACACTGCCCGAAGCCGCGGAACATACTGGCCTGATGCGCAAGTACCATCAAGAGGATTCTACTTCTCCTTTTCCTTACTCTCTCTGTTTCTTCTTATTCGAAAACGGCATACTACTACTATTACTACTACTACTATTACTACTATTACTATCACTACTACCACAACTACACGTTTTAACGTCATCCACCACCTTTCCCTTTTCTATACGCTTTTCTTCTACCTAAGTTCACCAACCAACAATCTTTGAAGAGAAAGAGGAAGAGAAAGATAAAGAGAATGAGAAAGAGAAAGAGAGAGAGAGAGAGAGAGAGAGAGAGAGAGAAAGAGAGTTCAAGAAGTGGAACTTGATTCAACGACCTTCCTCGTTATACCCACTCCACTTTCTCTCTTTCTGTTCTCTTACATCCAATCTGTGTACTCACGTTCGAAAATGTTCCTGCCTCTTGACTTTACACCTACCTACCTTGACTCACGAAACCTTTCTTGGCACCCGTAATATCGCGCTAAAGGTTTTGGACCCTTCGATAACCAACGACCTACGTGTTCTACGTGTCTATGTGTGTGTGTGTTTCTTTCTTTATTTTCTTCTTTTTTTATTTCGTTTTTAAACCGCAGTTTGTTCTTTGTAAATTTGCGCATACATTTACAGCCATTAAAAATCCTTACCATGTAAACGAGTGGTAGATAGAAGAAATAGGAGGAGAAAGTAGTGAGAAGGAAGAAAAAATGAAAATAAAGAAAAAAATATCATTTGGCAGATCACACATGTTAGAAGTAAAACCTTCGAAAAGCTAAGTTTCGAAAGAATGAGACGAATGTAGACTATCAGGTGTAGGATAAATACAGGGTTGTAATTTTTTAAATATTATTATTATAATATTGTTACCACTTTCAAAATATATTTTACGTTATATTAAGATATAATGCATAACATATTAAACAGTAGACAAGTTCTCAATTCGAAGAAATTGCTTCTGGTAACTAAAAAATGTAATGCTAACTAAAAACCTCTCTGCATACAAGAAATGCACAAACGCCTTACGTCGAACTCTTTGAAACTTCCCT